TTTTTACTATTTTAAGATTTCCGTTGATAGCATTGCCGGCGTACGACGTGATCCACGCGATACCGCTGCCGGTACACGACCACGGTAAGAGTTTTGCGACAATACAAGTCGAAAACCCGTGGATAGCTGTAAACGCGGAAACACACACATACATAGTCCCAGGCAGCAGCGTCACGTGATACTCACGTCAGTTTTTGGTCAGTCGTGACGTCAGTTATCCTTTTATAATCACGTAAAAATGACGTGAGAATGACCGGAATAAGTCACAGCCCACAGACGTCATAATAAAACGTGAAAATGACGTTATAAGGAGACGTGAAAATGACGTGTCAGTAATATTCTTATTGAGCTCTATCTGGACGTGAAAAAGACGTCATTTCGATATTTTTTTTAACAATAAATAGTCTACAGTATATATTATTTCATTTATATTTATTAATAAAGAGTAATTCTGCATACATTATTTTACTTAAGAACATAACATATATGATGTCATATATATTACAACAAAACATAATTGCAAAATAAATATCCAGCAAACAAGATGACGTCAAATAACGTTTCAATAATGTCATATGGATGTTAAATACGTCATTATGACGTTATTAAGGCGTTATTTGATGTCGTCTTTGCTAGAATGTATAAATATCCTGATGAAACATTTTCTATACGCAGTCATATAAAATTATATATAATTATACATAATACATACAATATAATTATATATAATTATATATGATTGTATATAATTACATATATACGAATTTTATATATTTAAATTATGCATGACAATTTTTTATCGGGATAATTTGTTAATATGCATCTGTACAAGAATGTATGAAAATAAAAGAACATACTAATAATTTTATACTGTTAATGAATGTATTATAGGAAAAGATATCCACTCCGTATCTACTATCATTGGTAAAAGTACACATTTCGCAATAATATCTTTGTAAGACCATGTGTGAATCTCAGATGACAAATTTTTTACTTTAAAAATATGTAAATTTTTAGATTCTATTGGATAAGAATAAAATGAATCATATGAAAGAAAATATTTACCAATTATTAAAATCTGATCTTCTAATCCTACTACAATATTAAGAATTTGTAATACCAAATTGTCTTTTGTAAGACAATAGCAATCAGCACAAGAATGACGATCAATAGTTAAAGTAAAAGATTCAAAACGCAGTTTTTTAAATTGTTTATAATGACAACCAATCGTTGGTAAAGGTCCAGAAGTATGTTCTAGCTCATACAGTATGGAATTCTCAGTTATAAGACGTTTATTAATAGAGGAGATAGAAAGTTCTTTGAGTCGACGATATATTTGTTGAAGTGGTTTGTTAGGAGATTTAATTGTTTGTTTAAGCTGCCCTAGATAATTCTCAAATACAAAAGCAGAGAATGTATCTAAAGGGCCAAATCTTTCTGCATCATTGCTTAAATGAGACAACATATGAATATTATATACATAAAATTGTAGTCCGTAAATATTTTCGCAATGATTAACAAAGATCTTTAATAGTTCATCAGCAAAGTCACATGTAAATCTAGAAATATGTTGTTTAGAAATTAATATCGTAATTGCACAATGCAATAATAAAAAATGCTGATAAATTGCTTCATCAATTACATTTTTAAGTACTAAAGGACCTGTATATATCAACAATGTTCTCAATTCAGTGGCTTTCCATCTCTGAAATTCTGATAGTGACCTAGGTTTTCTGTTTATTTCTACAGGAATACAATGCTTTAGTGATATTAATCGTTTTGATATTATATTTATAGATCTACTACTAAGTTTTACTTGTAATGGTTGTCCATTGATCCAAGACTGTACAAGTTTCCGTACGACACCCAGACATACACAATGCATGTAATCAATTGGAAAAGATGTGACTAAACCTATTTCAAGTTTTAATAATGGTGATTTACCAGTATGATGATCTTCATCCAACTGTAGTTCAAAAGATTCATCAGTCCGTTTTGGGGCTGAAGTATTTCTTATAATAACTTTTCGTTGAACGTAACAACCTGGTTCAGTACATTTATCACAGGAGGAATAACCACTATGTGATTTGATCATTTTCAAGTATGCCTTTGCTGGAGCATCGCATACAAAGCTATGAACTTCCACGCGATATTTTTTATTACAAAATTCAATGCCTTCTTTTAATAAATAATTCAGTTCATTTATAAAATCATCTAAAAATTTTTCTAGTGGTGTTGGTTTTGACGTGCCGCAGAAAATTCCAATAGTAAATGGTGTACTTCGTGTGGTATTTTTAACTATTCCCAAAATTGGCCAAAACTGAATGTTTGAGCTACGAAATAAAGGCAAACCATCAACATTAAATCCAATTTTAAGCACCTTGGCTGAAAAAGTAGTATTTTGTACTAGAAAAGTTTTTAATTCGTTTGCTAAGCCAATGTGGCAATATTCTCCATTTTCTAATTGTTTACTTTGCATATTAGTGGGTGTCTGGAGCAATGTTCTCGAATGAAGAGGTAATTCTGGGTAATAAGGTGAAATAATATGTAACAGACTAGTAAGTGCAGAATGAGAAATTTTATAACTTGTTGCCCAATCTTGTAGTTTTACGGATAAATCTTTTTGTGGATCATTTTGCAAAGATAAAAGTGGAGGATTATTTTGTATTACTAGAAGTGGATTAGTAATTGTACTACTGTCAGAATCATATAAATCTGCATTAAAAACAGTATTTTCAGAAATGTTCAGACTACATGAAGCAAAATTTTCTGTATATAAAGAGTTTTTTCTTTGAGGCAAAAAGTAATTACTATTATTGATACTTTCATCGTTACTACCATTTGAAGTAGTAACATTATTACTTTTTTCTTCAATTTTTATGTCATTTAAAATAGAAGTTACAGTTTTTGAGATTCTCCTATATAATTGTCGAACACCCACACTGCGTTTTAATTTAGTCTTTTTGTGTGTAATTTTAGTACTTGCCAACATTCTTGTACATAAAGAAAAAATAGATATTCTTAATAGCTACTTAATATCTAGAAATGCAAAGCTAAACTTATAAAATATCGCTTATATAAGGAACAGTAATAAATTTGGCGCAAAGACAAACATTAAAATAAATTAAAATGTTTGTATAAACAAAAACTAAAAATGTAATACATGCGCCATTTAGTATAAACAAATAAATTTTTAAAAACTTGAAAGATAACTCTCATATATATAACTTCTCTCAAAACAAAAAATAAACAATTCTTTACCAAAACTATTTAAAAATACTTAATTGTGTTCAGGAGCCCTATTTCTATTATTGCGAATTTTTATACGCTGAGGTGCGTGTTTAAGCCATATCTTAATCACATCCTCAATTTCCTTTTCTGTATGAGAAGAAGTTGATTTTACCGCTTCTATAAAACAAAAAACCTATATTAAAAACGTACAAATAAAAAATACAATGTTTCCTTAAAACCGCAGTCCATAGAAATTTTATATTATATGAGTAATATTAACTAAAATATGTACTTAGATTGTGTTGTGTTAATGTTATTAATTGCTACTAATATTATTAATGCACATGGAGCTATTTTGTGCACTTTATATATATATTTTTCATTTATATTATTTTAAATTTATTTTTATATATTATATATATATGTATATATATTTACAGTTCAAAACTGTAAAATATAAATAATCAAATAAAGCAACTGTATGCTCATGAGTTTTGCTTTGAATAACATTGGCACAACATATATAATTACATATTAGACATGTTTAAGCTAGCAATATTTGTTACAAATTTATTACTGTCCTAAAGATCTACTGTATAATAATAAACTTTTTTAAATTGTATACAAATAGAATACTTACGAAGTACAGCACTGCAGCACGTTAAGGAAGAAAAGGGACGTTTATTCATCCGCTTACCGTAAAAACTATAATTAGAAACTACGTCATCTGTTAAAAGATACTTGCAAATTCTATTAGTTTTTGATGTAAGATCTCTTCCACCTAATGTGGCTAAATATGAACACTGTAACATTAAAACTTGTATTAATAAAAATTAGGAAAAAAATTACTGATTTAATAAGAAATATTTAGTTGATAAATTTTGATTGTTTTTTAAGTAAGTTTCCAAAATATTTAAATCTACTTCGGTCGATATAGGCAACTGTACTGGTAAGTCTTCTAATCTAAATTGAGTTAAAGTAGGAGCAGCTATTTGTTTGTTATTAAGTATTGTCAATATCTCGTTATTTTGTTCTTTAATATGAATAAGGAAGGATAATACTTTTTTTATAACTGAAAAGAAAATAATAGTATATTAATAGTATTATATAATGATTAGAATCTGAAAATTTTACCGCGTACAAAATAAATTTGAATTTTACCTGTACCGTGACAGGAAGAAACACTATCTTGAGAGTTAGTTTCAATTATAGTCGAAGTAGTTGGAGTATTATTGCAAGACGATTGGAAATTATGTACCGCATCAGATCGAGTATCACTGTTCGATATTTCAACATCACTGTTACAAGGAGTCAATGTATTGGGTGTAGCAATTTGTTGAATGCGTTTGAAAGACCCTAAAACATATATGTTAATTATAATACATATAACTATGTTTAACATAATTTATATGCTTTAATTTGTTTTTAATTTGTTTTTAATCTGTTTACTGTAAATATGTTATAAAATATTGCTATCTCTGTCTCCTGTGTGTGTGTGTGTGTGTGTGTATGTGTGTGTGTCTTTCTGTCTGTACTTGAGCTCAGTTTCTATCTATCTTATTATTTTTGTGCTCTAACTGTCAGTAAACGAAGTGATAAATATTTACATTTTATGATAATAAAACTAGAAAAAGCATTTACTCAAACTTACGTGATAATGAAGGTGATAATGTTTCGTTACTTTTCTCATTTACTCTGGTAATTTTTGGTGGTGGTAAAAATTTATGCTTTCCTGATAAAGGCTCGTCTTCATCAGAGCTATAATCATCACTGCTATCATTTAAAAGTCTTTTCGGTTTTTGGATTCTCCTCTTCAATGGTAAAATGTCATCTTGCTCACTCTGACAATCAGAAGTTATCTGTGCTTGCTTTATTTTGCTTTGTGCCTTATTATAGTCATCTACAATACAATTACACATATGTTAGGGTAAACATTTTATTGAATATTATGTAATTTACACTTTACCTGTTTCAAAAAAGAGACGTTTTATTTTATAAATTGTCCAAGAACCATCTTGCTCTGGGATTACACCTTTTTTTAAAGCCTTATCATATTGAGACTGGGATTTATAAGGCGGCCAGAACACTTCCTGTTTACGTGGTGTTAGCCATTGACTGCTTATCAAAGCAACACCACCACCACTATCATCTGCAAATTCAATTCCTTTGTACGCCATTGCTAGGTAGTAAATATCGTTAAACCTACAAGTTTTAAATATAAATAACCTTATAATGTAAAAAGTTTTGTATTGTATTTGCAAGAATAGAACAAAAAATGTATTTCTATGTTTAAAAATATAAAATTAATTCTACGTTTACTATAATACATATATGTATAAGTCTGGCAGATCCGAGCAGAAAATTTGTTAGTGTTATCACAATTTATTTTGCTTTGTAAACTTTTCCTATTTATAGTTGCAAAATTAAGCTTATATATATATATATATATATATATATATATATGTAGTTTGGTTAAGCAGGCTTTAACGTTTTAATTGCAAAAAGTAAGTTAAAACAGATATATTTAATATTTATCCTTCCAGTAGGGACTCCCAGACCCGTTATAGTAACAACGCATAGATAACAAATAAAAAAGTAAACATTAAGTGTTAAAACATTAACATGTATAACATTTGAGAACAAATACTTACGTTAAAAAAGCACGTACAGATATTGTACATTTTATACTTTCGATAACAAAAAAGGTTATGAGAGGTTAAGTGCCGTTATAAATATTTCTAATTATTCAATACTTTCACAATTATATTCACTCACGTACAAGAATTATTGACATAAAAATAATATATTTGTAGAATAATAAGATACTCACCAACAAGCAAAGCGTAGATTACTAAAAAGCACAGAACTACAAAGCTCTTCAGTCTCCACAAATACGCAGGTTAAGAAAATATATAGTTAAATAAAAGCAGGAACGCGCAAACTTATGGCGCGAAACGCCAATACGGTGTGTACACACATACGCAGAAATATACATATATATTGTCGTATTTTGTTTGCAATCCTGGCACTTCGAACGAAACGGATGTATATTCGAATGCTAAAAGAAGCAAAAATGAGAAAATCGAGAGCAAAAATTGAAAGTAACATGAACTGAAATATGATTTCACATAAATATGTGGGGAAAATAAACTTGAATCTTACTTTAAATGTATGAACTCTGTGCATCTTAAGGAGCAGAGTAACGTCAAATTAATGACATATTAATAACGTCGCAGATATTATAGTAGTGACGTAAAATAACGTCATAATAATGTCACAATAACATCTTAAATAGCTGGCTAAAATCGACCTCTTAAAAACGTATAATAGACGTCTCTAAATTGACGTTATTATTACGTTAGAATATTCACGTCTTTTAAACGTTAGTTATTGGACACATGACGTCTAGGACCAGTAATCACTATTTATCGACGTGAAAATCACGTCACGTTGCTGCCTGGG